AGATCACGAATAAAATCAGGATCAATGATGAAAAGATATGTATAATACCAATTAGTTTGTATTGTTCGATTTTTACCATAGCCCGTCTTCTTATAAATTCGAAGACCGAAAATCTCTCAGAAATCTAGTGTGGTTGAGTGACAAAACGCTTATATGTCTCAAAAAAAGACTACTATATTCCCAGTTAAGGCTACAATCATCACAAAATATGAAAGTCTCTAAAACAAATATGGTAATCCTAATAGTCGATTAATTTGCTAATCCCGAATGAAACAACATTCCGAAATTGACCTTCATTAGGACAGGCGATCTTGAATGAATATGCAAATTAGTATTCAAGAATTAAAAAAGATATTATCTCCGCTTTGATTTCAAACATCTATAAAGCAGATAATATAACCTTTAGCCACGAATTAATATGCAGGATTCAGAATAGATTCTTCAGCTCCTGCTTCACATATTCCAATTTCAAAAATGAGATTATTCTAGGATCATCTATCAGAATAAAAAATAATGCGAATATATATGCAAATCTTACATCACACAGGCATTACACGTGACCATTTCTCATATACATTTAAATAAAAAAAATACTTTATTTATGAAATAAAAAATGTTGCCGGAAGTCAGCCTACAATACATAAAAATTGTGACTATGCGAAGCGTCTTAACGGCTATTATTACACATGATATGAATAAAAATACTATTTATCTTTGATTAGCGCATCCGGCAACGGTTCAAGATGCACGACAACATTAATTCCCTGTTCATGGTAGCATTCACCAGAATATTTAAGTTGGGGTTGTTTGAAAAAATGACTAAATTCTGTCTTGCAGTTCCATTTTTGTTCTGCCTTCTATTTTAACTGTACTACTGTTTTGTGACTTGTGGATTGCAATGCTACCAGATAACGTCCCGACCCAGCCTTATATAAATCCAAACTAGTCAAATCTATATCTTAAAATCGATCTGGACGACGGGTTTTGATTGCCTCCACGAAAGAAGAAACTCTATTGTTATAAGCATTAGATATCATTACTTCGAAGATATCCCTTGCATCCTCACCAGGAATCAAACAGTTGAGAGTAATGTTTCCGCCTTCAACCAACTTATCAAGTTTTGATTTATCAGATGTTTCAGGCTTATTAGGAACTGCAGTCTTATCAGACATCTTGCTTTCCTAAATACAAGAGCCCATAGTGAGAAAAACTCGCTCTCATACATATACAACTTCTGGCATATACATACCTTAATTTTTTGCGGGAAGATTGTCTGAACTTCTACACATTCCTACATGCTTTATATCTTGCTGAGAAAATGTTAAGGAGGTATGTAGCGTAATTAGTATTGTTGTATGATGCCAAGAGTTCTATGAAAACACATGCAAATGGAATCTTTATACCTTTCACAATGTAGATCTACCAGAAAGACACTTTTGATTTTACACATAGCGATCTCGAAATTGCGAAGTCCTCAGTCTTTCATAATATATGCTTTGCCATTGTATTTACTTTTACAGTAGGCCCTATATTACAACTAGACCTTCTTTCACATTTTTCTCACATTTGTTCAGGAAAAAAATAGAGGTACTGGTTAGCAAATATATATGCAAAATTAATATGCAAAATGTCACATAGACCTATTATGTGATCAGTCTATTTTTGTCATACATAAGTATAATGTATTGGCCCGTAAGCGCTTCGCATAGATCAGCAAATTCTTCTGAGCTAGTGATCACTGCTCTGTGATGATGATCTATATTCTGGACTCGAAATTTCCCACATTAAATATATTACTTTATTATAGCAATCATGACAAATAATAGCGAAAAGCTTGCTCAGTTTTATGGAGTGCTTT